TACACCCTTCACACTCCTGCCATTTTCCCAAATGAAGGAAACTCCATTGCATTTTGTGGTGGGAGCGGGGAGCTGTATTCTCACACTTGAGCTGGGGGATATGCAGGGAACACAAAACAATTAGCCAAAACTCAAAAGAAGACAAGTATAACAACAAGTGTAACAACTATAATCCTTAATGACAACTAGGAAGCTTTGTCAGAGAAACCAGTGAGTTAAGAAGCTTCCTCCCTCAAAGGCTTTATCATGGCCAGTGCCTACTGATGGACGTCAACTCCATGAATGCATCAAATACCATTTGTCACATTCAAACAAAATTGCAATAAGAAATCTGACCAGCACAAGGGAGCCTTTGAACTGTGTGGGGGAAAAATGTGATGAACTAAACATTATTTGTTAAGCAAATTAAACAGCTGTAAACTTAGGTTTTATACTTCTATAAATTAAGAAGTTTATAACTGAAACTAAAATTTTAAACAGATATATAAAAATATTCAACTACTGTATACTGAACTTTTGAAATCATTTGTTTTTTAATGTTCCAGTAATAAATTTTGTTTGCTATTTTTGCAATGCTCCCCACCAGTTCAAGGTGTACTGAGTCAACTGGCAATTTCTGGCTGCTATGGACTCATGAGAATCCACTTGGAAGACACCTGAAATTCCACATGTAACCTCAGACACTGTACATGGAGCCAGTGGGGAAGAAAGAAAAGCTTTTGAAGTGATGAAAATGAAGCAATTTTCATACCAAAGCTAACAAACTTCAGATTACTTGGTCAAACCAATTTTAAATTGGTAATTATCAACAATACCTATACACTGTTCACCAGCCAACACGAAGTGAGCTGGTGAACCTTATCCATTTCTGAATACCACTGAGCTTTTAGAAAGACAGACCTGAAAAGCCATCACATTAGGTCTTCCCTGTGCCAGGGCAAGAGGGCAGAACCCATGTCCTCCATACTAGCCCCTTCAAAGGAGCCTAGATCTGAGCTGACATGGAAACTACTTTCCTTTCATTAGACTTACCATTAAGAGAGGAGTGCTGTCAGAGCAGCATCACAACACTTCGCAGAAATGAGGATCAAGGTAAGAATGGTGAAATTTTTTCAACACTGAACATTCTGTGGATAAACAGAAGATTCCAGTCCCTTCTGCACCAAACGCAGCACCTTTCAGAAAGGGTCCAATTAACTTTTTATTAAAAACTCAATTGTAACTAGACCAATACTCTATTTAGACATCCAAATACCAAACTCATCATCAGCTGCCTATGAATAAAAGCACTTCATACCTGGCTTAATGTAAAAGAGATAACGCTACTTGTCACATACCGTTCCTTCAGAAATAGACAATTCATTTCCCAGTTTACATCCCCTTTATGAAGCCCAAACAGGAAAATGTAGACAATGCTCTGCAGGTCTGCGGGCAAAGGGAAAACCCACACTGTGCAGATGCTTGACTAGCCAGACAGACAAACTGTACCTTCTCTTAGATTACTAGGCAGAGTTATAGACCACTATTACAAGGACAGGTTACCAATAGCACCGCAGTTTCATTTTGTTGTTATTCAGGAAATGAATTCGTCTCTCCTTACTTCACTTTTCCACACAAAAAAATATTCCAAAACACCCCCACAAAAACCTAAGTGTTTCAAGTTTGTTCTCCCAGTGGTGATGTCATGATTATTTCATTTTAATACTTCTGTCCTCTGGTGTAAGTGAACAAACTACACTGAAGTGTAAACTGAACTTTAAGTTTACACACATGCTTCAGAACTTTTTGACAGTCTTAAGCACAGAAGTTAGGATTATGCCAGTATAATACAGGTAGTTAATACTGTTAACCAAGCAGAAACAATTACTCCCTTACAAGAGAAAAATCACACACATTGCAAGATTAACACATGAAAGGTACTTGAAATCTCCAGCTGTTTTTTAAAGTCTTCTGCACTAGAACCCGGGTTGTGAATGGTGGTAAATCTGATTGAGTGTCCAGGTGGACAGGAGAGAGCAGGATGAAGAGGAATGAGCTGAAGTGTCTATTGCCTGGTAGTTAGGCTAACTCTGGGTGCACAAGACCTACACTACAGGCTGAAGGTGAATCCAAATGCATACCTCAAGCTAAAGAGAGGATCGCCCTGCCTTCTGAAACTCAAAGCTGTTCAAAACCATATACACTGTGCTAAAAATAGAACTATGGCAAGATGATCACAAAGGGTAACATTCTTTGCAGTCCAGGAAAAAACCTTATAAAGATGTTACAAGACAAAATATTCAACATTTCAGCTTCCTTTTGAGTTACAAGGTAAGAGAATTTAACCAATGCTTACATGGAAACAGGCCTGCCTTGAGCTCTTATTTCCAACTACAAATCTCAATAAGCAGTCCAAGAAGCCCACTACTGTTTTCAAACATTGAATTCAAAAAGAAACACACTCATCCTGACTGCATTAGGCTATTTTAACTCTGCCTGTCTAATTTTCTCCCTGCAGAGCAAAAACCAGGCACACCCTGAGGACAGCACAGGAGAGAAGAGCAGTGACAGCTGAGAGCCACCTAAAGTAAGGAAGGCCATTTGCAAGGAGGTTTCCTCCCCCAGCATGTCACTATCCCTTGCAATAGGCTCTCTCCTGCACCCCCTCACTGCTTCATTAGCTGTAAATGTTGTGGCTTAAGAAGGAAACAAAACTTTTTTAACATTTGGAGAGATCAGCATTGCACAAGGAGACTTGATTTGCTGATTACCAGCAACCAAGCCCAGCATAGCATTCTGGTCTCTCCCCAGTCTGGACACCCCAACACACGACTCTCTAGTTCATCACCCTCAAAGAGTGGAAATTAGCAACACCACCCTTGCCGCCAATGCTAAAAAAGAAAACCCAACACTTTCACTTGAAAACCACTCTCACATTGCCCATCTGAGCATGAAAAGAGCAGTAATTATGATGGAGTTCCTGGACTCACTGTAAAAGGCCACTTTCAAACCAGTCTTATGAGATGACACTACTGCAATCAGGTTCTGCATTTTCTGTGTCTGTCATGTCTAACTCTTTCATGCCACAACTCTCAGGTGCACATTCATAAAAGTTTACCCAATAGTTATTACCATTAAAGTAATAACTATTATTCTAGGCTGAAAGTAATTCACCTAGAGCAGACTTAATTAATGCCAGGTGATGATAAGGATAAACCTAGTCAGACACTTACCATGCTTGTGGCACATTATTGCTCCCCTGTGTTGACTGGAAGCCTCTATCACTCAAGGACCATCCCCACCCACGCTTGTCACAAATGAGGCACCTGCAATCACAAGACCATGGGCACAAAAGCCTTCTCTCAGACAGGGTCAGGCAGGTTTCAAGGCTCTAATAATTTCATGTCTTGTCACTATTCTACAGATAAAAAAAATACTCTTTCTGTACCATACTGCAGTTCCCTAAATACACTGGTTCTCCCAGCACACAAAGTACCTTCTGCCCATTATAAAATCTTCTACCTTATCTCAACTGGAGCATAAAGAAAAACTGATTTTCCCATCCTGCAGCTTCCCCAGCAACAGAAGATGCAAAATTCTGAGTGCTGGCTCTCAGCTTACCTTGAGGCACTGTGCTTACAGTAAACATGTACTATGGGTAGCCTGTGTTTTCGGTTGAGAACAGACAGCTAGATTTAAATGTGAGGAAACCCATAAGACTCAGGTTGAGGTATTGCAGGTCCTTGCTACAGCTGAAGCATTAGAAAACTGTACCACATTCATGACAACTTGAAGAGACAGGGATGTTTCTTTGTGCAAAATGTAATTTCAAGCACTGTAAGCCATGACTGAACTATCAGCCAATGGCCAGGAGGAGAGAGACGCGCAGGCAAAAGAGTTTGTGTCGGTGCAGAAAAGAGAGCACAGACTAAACAAACAATGGTAGAAAATGGTAGAAATGTTCTGAAAACAGTAGAAACCCAAGAACTCAAAAAGAGTGTTGAGAAAACATTTATCTTTTTCCAACCAGCAAGAGAGTCTCCTGACAATCTTATTTTTTTTCCCTAAACATTATCTGCAATTTCTCTCAACAGAATCAAACATTCAAAACCAAAAATTGTTTTCTCCTAGAA